TTTTTGTTATTTCTTCTTGTCTGCTGGGTTTGGGTTTCATTTGTTTTTGCTTTTCAAGTGTCTTGAGTTGCAATGTTGTTATTTATTTTTGTTCTTTCGATTTTTTGATGTAGGCACTTAAAGCTAAAAACTTCCCTCTAATGACAGCTTTCAGTGTGTCCCAGAGATTTTTTTTTTGTGTGTTGTATTGTCGTTTTCATTTAGTTCTAGGAATACTTTTATTTCTTTCTTAATTTCTCTTTTGACACATCATTCAGGAGAGTGTTGTTTAATCTCCATGTGTTCATGTGTTTACTAGGGCTTCTTCCAGTGTTGATTGTAAGATTTACTGCATTGTGGTCTGATAGAATGCAATTATTTCAATCTTTTTTTATTTGTTGAGGCTTGTTTTGTGCCCCAGTATATGGTCAATTTTGGAGAAGGTTCCATGGGGCACTGAGTAGAAAGTATGTCCGTTGGTGCTTGGGTGGAATACTCGGTAGATGTCTGTTAAGTCCATTTGATATATGGTATTGTTTAATTCAGATGTCTCTGTGTTAACTCTCCGCCCTGTTGGCCTATCTAATGGAGATAGTGGGGTATTGATGTCCCATACTATTAATGGGTTGGGATTAATATGGGTCTTAAAGTTGGGTATACCAGAGTTTGCTGAATATATGTTCTGATTGTAATATCTTCTTGCTTTGTTGTTCCTTTGATCGGAATGAAGTGGTGCTCTTTATCTCTTCTGATTAATTTTAGTTTAAAGTCTTTTTTGTCAGATATTAGAATTGCTACTCCTGCTTTTTTCTTAGCTCCCCATCCTTTCACTTTAAGATAGTGTCTGTCCTTGAAAGTGAGATGGGTTCTTGAAGACAACAAAAAGATGGGTCTTGTTTCTTAACCCATTCACCTAGTCTGTGTCTTTGACTGGGGAGTTCAGTCTGTTAATATTTAAAGTTATTAATGAAAGATGAGTATTGAATCCTGTCATTTTTATTTGTTTACATTCTTGATATAGCTGTATTTTTCCACAGTTATACCTTCATTGGATTTTTTTCCACATCCCCTAGGGAATAGTCATTCCTTTCTTCAGCTCTTTGTATTGTTTCCAGAACTCTCTGAAGGGCTGGTTTTGTGAACATGAATTCCTTCAGCCTATTTATGTCATGGAAGATTTTTTTTTCCCTTTTGACTATAATAGACATTTGGGCTGTGTATAGTAATCTGGGTTGGCATCTGTGGTCTCTGATGGCTTTCATAATTTGCACTGAAATGTCAGCTGTAATCCTAATGGGTTTTCCTTTATATGTGACTTGTTGTTTCTCTTTTGCAGCTTTCAGTATTGTTTCTTTGTTTTGTATGTTTAGTGTTTTTACTTTGATGTGCCATGGGGAGTTTCTTTTGTGGTTCTGTCTGTTTGGTGTTCTATATGCTTCTTATATTTGTGTGGGCATGTCTTTCCTTAATTTGGGGAAATTTTCTTCCATGATTCTGTTGAAGATCTGGTCCATGCCATTATCTTGAGATTCTTCTCCTTCTTGTATGCCTAAAATTTGTAAGTTTGGTCTTTTTATGGCATAACACAGTTCACACATATTCCATTCTTGTGTTTTCTTAAATTTTTCATAATCTTTGCTTGAGTGGTCTAATTTATCCATTCTATCTTCCAGTTTTGATATTCTGTTTTCCATTTCATTCATCTTATTGGTGAGCTTTCTCCTGTCGTTTTTAATTGGCCTACTGAGTGTTCCACTTCCTTCTTCATTTCAGCCTGAGTAGTTGTGCTGGATAGCTTCCACCTAGGTTGAGGGAGTCTCAATTGGGGAGTTTCCTCTATTGGACTGGCCAGTGGCCATCTCCATGGGGCATCTTCTTGATTATCTCTAGGGGGTTCTCATTGTACTCCTCTAGAGGACTATTGGTATTTGGTGGGGATATATTATTTTGGTTTTTCATGGTATTATTTTTTCTCTGTGATTTTGACATGTGAATTTCTTTTTTAGTTTCTGATTCTTATGTGAGACTCAGGCCTTCAAGTTAAGTCTGCTTCTTTTTGTGAACTTTATGCATCTTTGTCATTTACTTTTTGGTTATGAAAAGCTGGTTCCTCTAAGCTTTTGGTTCTCTCTTTTGATTTTATGTTGGAGTGGCCAGATTGCTTTTGTCTTCAGGAGTTCCCACAGAGGCCCAAGTCAGATGAAGATCAGATGCTCTCAGGCTTTCTCTTAAGGTCTGGATCCCTCCAGTCAATATTTTGGCCTCAGGAATTTGGGGTTGGGCTGGCGTGGGAGCCAGGCCCAGGGAAGATGGTGGTCTAGGGCAGCTGGTGGCCATGCCGCCCAGAGATCCAAAGGAAGATGGGGGTGAGAAGCACCCCCAAGGGCTCCTGGGGAAAGGGTTGGTCTGGATGCAAAGAATCAGGAAGAGGAAAGGTCAGCCCCGGAGTCCAGGAAAGAGGCTGGGGGGGGGGGTCATACAGGCCCAGGGAAGTAGAGGGAGGTGAGGGCGGGGTCAGTCCCAGAATGCTCTTGGGGAGCAGAGAAGGAACTCAGTTGGTCTGGGTGCAAAGGATCAGGAAGCAGTGGACAGAACCCAGGCTAGGAGGAGGGGGGGATGGGAGGGTGAATGAGGTTGAGGGAGTCAAGGTGCTGAGGGCACCATTGACTTACCCCAGAGAGAGGCCTGCACATTGGCGAGAGATCTGTGGGTCATGCAAGCCCAGGGAAGCAAAGGGAAGTGAGCGAACAGTATATTCTTATATATTCAATAGATAAAAATTATTTTTTGCATTTTCCCAATCATTGGAGTTAGATTTCTGATAATTCCAGTGATGAGCTGTGCATTAAAATGTTTAGACATCCTGTTAGGTAAAAAATAACAGTTTGTTGTTGACCAGTAGTAGTAAGCATCAGTTCTTGTGTTTACCAATCACTGTGTTCATATCCAGAAGTCTCTTCAACTTCTTTGCTCAGTTTTCTAATTTTATTTTAATATATTATTCATTTGATAGCTTTTTAGATACAAGGCAGTATGAAGTGGGGCGTGGTGGTGCACACCTGTGATCTCAGCACTGTAGAGGCAGAGGCAGGAAGATCACATCATGTTTAAGGTTAGTCTGCTGTATATTTAGCTATATTTTGTCTCAAAACCAGACAAAACAAATAGAAAGTGGAATAAATCTTATTTGGTCAGAGCTTTGTATCATCTTAATAATGAATTTGTTGAACAAAATGATTAATTTTAAAGAAGTCTGGTATTAGGTAGCTAAACAAATTTCATATTCATTGCTTTTGTACCTTTTCTACAAATGTATTAATATTAAGAACTTAAACCTTCATCTACTTTTCCAGTAAAGATCTTTTACCTTCAGTTTATATGCATATATACCTACAAAATATTACACTTTAAGGTAGCATTTATTCTAGCAAAGGCCAAAAAGAAATGCCACACAGCATATTTCACAAAGAGTAAAGCCCTTTCGCTAGGCTGTTTCTCACATCTACTTCTCCTTCCACAACATCCTTCTTAGGGCACCCTTGACCTCAGCATTCCTCAGGCTGTAGATCAAGGGATTCAGCACAGGGTTGAAAAGCCTGTAAAACAGGGAAAGGATCTTCTGCTGCTCCTCAGGATGGCGGGACTTGGGGGCCATGTACATGACGATGGCACTGCCAAAGAAGAGCCCGACCACACAGAGGTGGGAGGAGCAGGTGGAGAAGGCCTTCCTGCGGCCCACACGGGACTGGATCTTCAGGATGGTCACCAGGATGCGGGTGTAGGAGATGAGCACCAAGCAGAGGGGCCCTACTAAGATGAACACACAGGCTGCAAAGATGATGGTTTGGTTGAGTGTCGTGTCAGCACAGGCCAGCTTGAGGACAGACAGGATTTCACAGAAGTGGTTGACTTCATGAGGCCCACAGAAGGGCAGCCTCAGGATAAGGGTTACCTGAACCATATCTAAGAGTAAGCTAACCCCCCAGGAAGCAGCAGCCAAGATGGTGCACACTCTCCAAGTCATGATGACAGTGTAGTGTAAGGGGTGACAGATGGCCACGTATCGATCATAGGACATGGCTGCCAGAATCAAGCACTCTGTAGCAGTAAAGGCCAAATAGAAGAACGTCTGCATGATACATGCAGCAAAGGAGATGGTTCTCTTCTGGTTCACAAGGTTGGCCAGCATCTTCGGGACATTGTTGGAAGCATAGAACATGTCAAGGATGGCCAGGTGTGAGAGGAAGAAGTACATGGGGGTGTGTAGCCTGGGTTCCAGGGATATCATTCCAAGGATTATCCCATTCCCAAGCAGGGTAAAGATATAGAACACAGAAAAAAACTCAAAGAGAAAATACTCCAGGGCTGGCTCAACTTGGAATCCCAGCAGGGTGACCTCTGTGATCCACGTCTGGTTGCCTCCCATTCTCCAATGGCAAAGGCAAAGCTTGGTTCTTGACTAGGTCAGAGCTGTGGAGCAAAGTTCTGAAATATTTTGTGAATGTTACAGGGAGAGTATTCAGAAATGTCTCACTGAAGATGAATTTCCTTGAATTCATCTGACATTTTGCAAAATCTAATTAGTAAGCTCATTAAATGAGCACACAATTCCTTGTACTAATAGAATAATAGAAAAGTACAAAATATATAACTACAGCTCATATGCAATAAAATGTTTATGTCATAGGTTCTGTTTCAGCATAGCCTGTATTAGAGAATACATGTACACATGGACACATGTGATTTTGAATCCTTGTATTCTCACTTACCTTTCAGGGTGGGGGTTCCCAGTTGATTGTTAGTGTAGTTTGGATAGCAAAGACCTCCACAAGATTCTCAGATAGGTGGGGGCTCCAACTCCCGGCGTGGCTGCCTATTCAGGAAATGTTTGAAGTGGTTAGCATCTGCTGCTCTTTATGGATGTAAAGAACCCAGTCCTCTCGCATGTTTTTTAGCTACTCACTTCAAATATGAAATATCTTCTAAGTAAAGTCTCATTTTTTAAGCTTCATCAAAACCATTTAAGACCCAGCTTTCCAGTAGCTAGTCAGTGTACCCAGGGAGGGCCTCTGGGAGCTGTTGGTATGCTGCTGGTTCTAGATTTAAGAATTTTCTTTGCTTCTTCATCTGCACTCAATACTTAAATTTAGGCCTAACTTAAAGAATTCCTTGACTACTTTAATGGAACTGTGTAAATATTTTAAACACCACTAAGCTTCAGATTTCTACAGTCTTTAAAAATAAGAAACTTATAGAGTACATGAAGTTATCGGAAAAAAAGTGATGGGGAGATATGGGAGGAGTTAGAAGAGAGGGAGTGGGCATGGATTTGATCAAACATCTTATATGCATGTATGAAATTCTCAATAATTATTTTAAAAAAATAAAAATAAGAAACTTAAAAAGGAAACTATTAACAGTATTTCATTAAAGATATTGATTGTTGTGACTGCATTTTGATTGACTTCTATTAGTTTGTATTATAAAACAATCTCAGAGTTTGTCTTACTTTTCTCTGTGATAAATCTTTTGTTCTTAAGATATTGTCAGGGTTGATGTGATGGGCTACTGGGTAAAGACAGTTGATGCCAAGCCTTATGACCTGAGTTTAATATCTGGGACCCTCATGGTGGAATGAGAGAACCGAATACCACAAATTGTTCTTCTGATCTCTACCTGTGCACCATGGCATGCATGTATTTACACACACAGAGTAAATAAATATATCTAATAAAAAATATATTTTCACAATTTTGACAACATAGACTACCATGAAATCCCCTGATCACTTTCTTCTTCATCACTTGTTACCATGGCAACAGCCTGCATAGGTCCATTGCATCCTGAGCAGGTAGGAGGAGCACTATTAGAATTGGTGGTTGGTTTTTTCAAAGAGCTCTTCTGCAGAGGCCCCAAATCTGTCCAGCTGTCAGGGGGAAACGAGGGATGTGAATGGAATGGGGGACAGAATCACTTAGAAAACCAAGTGGCTTTCCCTATCCCTTACACTTTTTCATGTTATTTTCAATACACTGATCTTATTTCTTAAATTATGTGAACATTTCAAATCCAACAGATTATATTCAAAAATTATTTTTGCGTTCATCACAAAAATGAAGATCCTCAAATACATACACTATAATGGAAATATAGTAGAATCATAGACATTTTCATTTAACATAATAAAATTTTCATTTGTCAAAACAACATGTAAATATAAGTAAGAAAGAATATCAAATTATGTTTTACAAACTTCATTGTTTTTTCCAGTTTATGATGACTTCCTTAGGACAAAATGAAATTGTAGGTGCTAAGTATACAGACATTTAAAACTTTTTGATGTCTGCTACCTGTTGCTTCCCAGAAAAATATGAATTTTATAATTTTTAGCAGTATAGGCCTTATAAGTTCACTGTGTGATTATCTGGCTTCCTTCTTGTACAGTTCTCAGTACTAAGTATTTCTAGAATGGTGCTCAGTACTAAGTACTCCTAGAATGGTCCTCACTACTAAGTATTCCTAGAATGGTTCTCAGTACTAAGTATTCCTAGGATGGTCCTCAGTACTAAGTATTCTAGAATGGTGCTCAGTACTAAGTATTCCTAGGATGGTTCTCAGTACTAAGTATTCCTAGTCATAGTCTTTGCTTACTTGATACATGAACTAATTTATACAGTTAAATCATCAACACCTTACCACATGCCCCTGTGTGCAAGACCTGCGCCCCTCCTTGGCTCTGGGCTCAGGGAGCACAACTGTGGAGTGACTATTAGGGAGGCACTTTTCCATATCTCACATTTCCCCTCGGGGAAGAAAAGCTTTATAACCCTAGATGGAAGCACATTAGAATATGCCCACTAACCATTCCCTAATGTATGTGATTTGTGAAATGGAAAGAAATCGAGAGTAGCTTTCTCTGTTCTCTTGTTTATTCATCTGCATTTCTAGCCTGTGAACTGAAGTGTAGGGGAGAATGCTCTGCATCATTGGGCTGGGGGTTATTGTTTTAATTTGGAGAACGTTTCTGTTCATGTTATAAACTACATTTTTAGTAAGTCTTACTACCAAATCCTTTTAAAATTTATTTTATTACTTTATTTTATGAATTATTTTTTATTATTTTGTGTTTTGCATGCTTGTATGTAAGTGTACCTGTATTGTGCAGTGCTTTGAGAGATCAGAAGAGGGTGTCAAATCCCTTGGAGCTGGACTTACAGATGGTTGTTAGATGCCATGTAAGTGCTGGGAACTGAACCCTGGTCCTCTGCAAGAGCAACCAGTGCGCTTAACCTCTGAGCCTCTATCATTTCTGTCCAGTTCCCCAAATCCTTTTTAAAAAATTGCTACCTGATTCCTCTATTTCCTAACTATTTCCCTCCTTGGGTATGGAGAGGAGTGGCCTGGTTCCTTAGCACTCCTAAACCACCAGGAATAAAGAGGTAAGACAACCAAGTGTGAAAACAACTATGGAGGGAACAAACAGGGTGAAAAGACAGAAAGCGATTTTATTCAAAGAGTTTCTTAGAATGAGATTATCAGGACAGTTTCTCTCAAGAGGATACATGGACAGAACCTTAATGTTGGAGGGTGTCAGCCCTAACCAGAGCCACGGGAAGATGGTTCACTTCCCCAGCGGACAGCAGAGGACCAGAGAAAGCAAAGTCTCTGAGTAAGAAACACTCACTGAGTTATGGGAAGAGGAACAAATGCAATATGTCTCCATAGTGTATGAGAGATTATAATGCACTCATTATAACATATATACACATGTATTTTTACATGTACATGCATGTATTATATATGCCTATAACCATAAATACATTTAAAAGTTGACCAGACAAAATAGTTTATCAGTTCATGATAGGTTTAATATATTAGATAATTTAATACCACAAAATACCATGCAGTCATTAAAAGTAAGATTGTTTCTACCTTACTACTTTACATGAGTCATGTATTAATAATATATTATTTACATTTGAAAATATAAACATTTGTATGTACACCGTTCTTTTGCCTAACTACATATACTTAGGAAAACTCTGTAAACTGAACACAGAGACATGTTTCCACTGCTTATCTTGAAGACTATATCCTGAACAAAGTTTCACAAAAACTTTTGGTCCATTTGTTTGTTTAGTAAAGGGTCTGCATTATCAGAGGACATAAACATAAGAATATTTCCATGTTTGAGATATGCACAATGTGAGGTGCAATTAAAATTGCACATTTTCCTTGCTCATGTGCTCATCAAATTTTAGTAGAAATCTGTGATCTGAACAGACTTCCTCAGAGCTTCCAAAGGAGCAATAAGTCCCTTTGTTATGAAATAATAAACCAACTTAACCATTATAAGTACAGCAAAAAGGACTGGAGAGGTGGCTCAGCGGTTAAGAGCACTGACTGTTCTTTCAGAGGACCTTGGTTCAATTCCCAGCACCCACATGGTGGCTAACACATCCACAACTCCAGGTCCAGAGGATCCGATGCCCTCTTCTGGCCTCTGTGTGCATTGCACACATGTAGTGCACTTACATACATGCAGGCAAAACATTCACATATAAAAAAATTAGGGACTGGAGAGATGGCTCAGAGATTAAGAGCATGTACAGCTCTTCTAGAGGAACTGAGTTCAATTTCCAGCACCTACATCAAGAGGCTAACAACCACCTGTAATTCCAGATCCAGAGGATCCAATACTCTGGCCTCCGTGGGCGCCAGGACTGGTACACATGCATATATGCATGAATAAAAATAAAATAAATCTTTTAAAATGCTTAAATAATTTTTTAAAGTAGAGCAAAATTGAAAACTGAATACCATTTTTCTGTATAAAGATACATTCCCCCCTTAGGTATCCCAATATAGAAATAACTCAGATTATCTATTGGATAAAGGCAGAGAGAATCCTAAATCAAGGTTTAAAACTATTGTAACATCCAACAAACTGAGGGTACTCAGCCATGCAGTACTCCCACCATACTGTTCAAAGACAGAAAACTTTGCCAAACAGAAAACGCATGCTAATGCTTTTTAATGATCTTACCTGGAACATGCCTTCAGCCTATCTCATTAAGAAACAATGACGTAGGAAGCTAGGAGACAGTTTTTTCAGATGTAATATTTTGGTACATAGGAGACCTTCAGGAGGGGAACTGAGTTTTGAGCGTAATGAGGAAGGAAAGAAGGCCACAAATCAGCCTGTGTCCAGGAAGTTTTTCTCACCAAAATGGGTCCTAAGCCTGCTGGGTGTACAAACCCATGTGGCCCTTACCTGCAGGGTATGCTCTGGGGTCTTGCTGTGTATTGTGCAGGGACCTTGGCTAGCAGAACTTCAGAGACCTCAGAATCTCAGTGATAGGTTGGGATGTTTCTTTAGTCAAAGGACTAGACTTGTTAAGCTAATCAAAGTTTATAATAAATCCA